ACACGTCTGGGTCAAACTACAAAGGAGATCTTTGGACACCTTGAGGGCAGTGCATTTTATGATGAGGAAGTAGGTTTGATCATGATAAAGTGTGAATGCATGAAAGCAGCTTTAAACCTGGTTCTGTGTGGGAGGCGAGGAGCATGGAAGACTTCAGCAGCCAAGGCCATTTTAGGTCAGACAGAGCTCCATTCATCAGCCTCCAACTCATCAGAGTGTGTTAAACATCAGGGAGAGGTGTCTGGATGCCGGGTTTCCCTGGTGCAGCTGCCTGCCTTGTGCGGAAAACCTCAGCAGGAAGTGATGGAGGAATCATTCAGGTGCATCTCTCTTTGTGATCCTGAGGGCGTCCATGCCTTCGTACTGGTCCTACCTGTGGGTCCCCTCACTGATGAAGACAAGGGAGAGTTAGAGACCATCCAGAACACATTCAGCTCTCAAGTCAACGACTTCACCATGATTCTGTTCACCGTGGAGACAGATCTCACAGCTCCAGCGGTCGTTGACTTTATACAGAAAAACAAAGACATCCAGGAGCTCTGTCAGAGCTGTGGAGAAAGATATGCTGTTCTCAACATCAAGGACCAGCAGCAGATCCCAGAGCTGTTGGATGCTGTGGAACAGACGAGAGTTGAAGGATCCAGGTGCTTCACGATGACGATGTTCACTAAGGCTCAGATGAAGAAGCTTGAAGAGCTGGATAACGCTAACAGAACACTTAACGCAAGAAAGAAAAGTGAGATGGGAGAAGATGACGAAAGAGAGCGTCTCAGGATGGTACTGATCGGGAAGGCTGTCGGTGTGAAGAGTACAATTGGAAACACCATTTTGGGTGAAAAACATTTCCGCCAGAAGTTTGTGACCACCGTGTGCCAGAGAGCAACAGGAGAGATTCATGGACGGTCTGTCGCTGTGGTCAACACACCTAGCTTGTTTGACACACCTCAGTCTGATGATGACCTCCGACGAGAGGTTAGAAAATGCCTCAGCATATTGGCTCCTGGACCTCATGTGTTCTTACTGGTGCTACAGATTGGAAACCTTACACAAGAGGAAAAACACTCAGTGGAACTGATCAAGAAATATTTTGGCAAGAAGTCTCAAGATTCCATCATCATTATACTCACCGGAGGACAAGAACCTGAAGATAAGTTATCTGAGAGTTATGCCGACGTTTGTGGTGGCTTTGTCAAAAAACTCATCAATGACTGTCGAGGGAGGTACCAGGTCTTCAACGAAGGTGACACAGAGGGCACGCAGGTCAGGGAGCTGCTGACCAAGATCGAGACCATGGAGAAGGAAAATGGCGGCTGCTGCTACACCGAGGGATACACAGTAAAACAAGTGGAGAGGATTTTGAAAGACAAAGAAGAAGGAAGGAAAAGAAAGGAGGAGAACCTGCGAAAAAAACATGAAGATGACATGAAAACACTGGAGCGCAAAATCAAAGAAGAGGAGAGAAAGCTGAGGGAAAAACAGCTGAACGAGAAGGACCAAAGCATCAACAAGGAGCGAGAGAAGAGAAAGCAAGAACGGGAGGAAGTTGAAAGGGGACGGAAGAAACAGGAAGACACTACACGACAGGAATGGAAAAGAAAACTGGATGCGTTAGAGGGAAAGGTTCAGTATGAAAGAGAGCAAAATGAAACATATGCAAAGAAACTGGAGCAGATTAGAAGAGAGGTCAAGAGAGATCAAGAGTCCTGGAATAGGGAGCGAAAGGACACCTGGGAACTAATACATGAAGAGGATAAACAGAGCCTGAAGGAGTGGAAGGTCAACTACAGGAATCTGCAAGAGGAGTACCATTATAAGAGAAGAAAATACACATACTGCATAGTGGTGCTGATGTTGTCTCTATCGTATTTATTATCTTATATATTTCTCAGTTAGGAATACCCATGCATACACACTACAGACTTGTAATGGACATTCCTACATTCACACATCATTGGCCATGCCATCAGTAGCAGCTTGGGGTTGAGTATTCTGCCAAAGCATACATCCACATGATGACTGCAGCTGCGAACCCACAACCTTCCGTTTGAAAGAAGACCGCACTACCTCACAGCCAGACTCTTCCCGTTGAAAAAAACTCTATGGCTGAAGTGTTAGTCGGTCTGGATACACACACAGAGACACGTAGCAGAGTTGGTCTCATATCTAATATCCATCTGTGTGTTCTGAAGAATCACAGCAGAGTTGGTAGTCCAGGGAGGCTGGCACGCATATATTTTGTTTACTTTAATGTAACATAATCATTTAAAGGTCTCCCTTGAAAAAGAGATCTATGATCTCAATGGGACCAATCTGGTTAAATAAAGGTTTGAAATGAAAAGGGGCCTATTATGCTTTTATGCCTCAAATGCCTCGATTGTACTCCTTTGTTTACGTAACATTCCCGCTACTATTCCCAACCCGCTGGTTCTTCAACATATTGTTTGTGATGCTAAGTGGCGAGACATCTCTAAGCGGATGACCAATTACAACAGAGCTAACCAATCAGAGCAGACTTGCCTCTGGTTTCAGACAGAGCGTGAAAAGAGGTGCTGCAGCACAGGCAGTATGAGAAGAATAAAGACCTTTTTAAGCATTAAAGCACTAATGCAACCGTTTGGTTTTAACTTGAAAAGACATCTTCGATAACATTACCAGTTAAGATCAAAGTTCGGAGGCTTACTTTTAAAATGTATCCTGTAAAAACTGTAGTCTGACTATCAACATGTAAAAGTATTGGATAATGGATAACCTCACTATTGACTGTAATTATAATAAATACATGAGAAAATCAATGTGATGTTTTTTACTTAAGTGAATTATGTTATAATACAGAACAATGTGACCTTACTAAAGAAGAAGCCAAGATAGTTATTATCTAAAATGTGTCTTCTGCTCAGAGATTGTATTTATAGGAAAACCTGCCTTTCATTTAGTTGAATCGGCACTTAAGCCCACACACACTATTCAATGAACATATTTGAGCTACTGAAGCAATGAAAGTGAACACCATACAGCAGATTCAGGCAGCAGGCGTATAGATTTACACTTAAAGTATTAGCCTACAGTACAGTTTACAGAGAAGAAATGAAAGCTGATCCTTTTACAACAAACCCAATACGCTCTTTTTAGTTTATTAGTGACATTGTAATCCAGTTTATAATTTTTTTAGAAATGTAACAGTAATCTGATGGGAATACAGAATTTCTGTAGGAGCTTGCATTGTCTGAAGTAGGTGTGGTCAGCAGTTACTGTAAGTATTGAGTCATAGATGCAGGGTACTGACTCCTGCAGTGCAGTGGAGAGCGTTTGTTGAAAGTGGTCACATAACATTTGAAAACAGCCACAACCGTGCACCTTGCACTCGCGTCACTGGTGCGTACCAGTACTTAAAAAATAAATACTGGATTAACTTGGCACTAATTGTTGTGGGCTGGGCAGGGTCATAGTCCAGCTGTTTTTGAAGTGAATCCAGGCCAACGCTACTGTAACATATTGGTGAATACAAGATCTTTGATTACAGAGATCACGTTGATGACGTAATGCATGTGTGCATGTTACGCGCCAGACACTCGGAATGAGAGAAGTAGTCCGCTTCATCTGTTTATGTAGACACTTACATGTCCATAGAACAGAATATTACAGCTACCATGATAAAAAGTTGTGAACTGTGCTGCAGAATTATCTAAATGTTTAGATGTTGTTCCTCCATGGCTATCAACCTTAAGAGATTTTCTGATTTGCCCAAGTGGCAGTGTTCTGTGGTTAGGGCGCCTGCTGCTGGTGGAGAGATAGGAGTGTCTCAGCTGGAGATCAGCAGCTGACTATAAAGGTATGCTGGGAACCTGGTTCTGGGTTTCGTTCGAGTCGAATAGTGTTTTTTGTTTGCTTAAGAAGGTTCCTTACAGGGATAATATGACCCAGAAGTACCTACATGGCAGCCATGATAAGCTCTTTGAATTATTTAGATGTTAGGAAAGGGTTTTTAATGCTACCTTTAATATCCCCTTTCGCAAATGATACACTGGACCATCCTTAAAACTGAAAATGAGATAATGCTGTCCCACAATTCCTTGCAACTGCAACATTTAGGTCAACATAAGCCAGGGCATATTTGTTTAATATAATAAATATTATTAGTTGTTTTTGCTAAACCTTGTATCATTGAAGCGTTTGCTGTGCCATCAATAAGTACAGTTACTAAGCAACTGTAGCAGGGCTTTTGCTATTTGTTTCGCCATGCTGCAAATTACAATGTCCATTCGTTATTAATACTGCCCTCATCTAATCAAAAATAGCAGTTAGCCCAGCAATCAAGCAAAAAAGATGCTCATGTCTTTTTTCACGTCATTTATTTGGCACCACCTTGTTAATGTGTGTATTTAGCTATTTGTTAGCCATGTGGATGCCTGTTGCATTCTGGGAGACTCCAGAATGATGGATGAATGAATATAAATAATAATCAACATTTATTATATATTCCCAAGCATAAAATGTCTTCTGCTTACCCTCCTGTTATATTCGTTTTTTGTAACAGCAATAATATTCGTGGGTCAATTTGACCCAGTTTAATTATCCAAAAATGGTTTTTGTACATAGTTTGTACCTTTTATTACTATCAATGAAATCAATATTTAGTGCAATTGTGTTACTCACCCCTCACAGATCATGATTCCATTAGAATAAGTCACTCGTTTTTCTCAAAACATATACATTCAAACACATTTTTCTATTTTCTTTTTTACATTGGAAAAACCTTGATATAAAATACATTAGTTTTGCATAACATAACATGTTTTAAATTCATTTTAATTCGTTTTACAATTGGTTGATGTTGATAAATAGAGACGAGACACCTCTTCTGTTCAGGGTCAAATTGACCCGTTCACTTAGAATCAAGCCAAATGAGTCATAAGGATTTGTATTGAAAGTATTTAATTGTAACATCAATTAAGAGTGTGTGTGTGTGTGTGTGTGTGTGTGTGTGTGTGTGTGTGTGTGTGTGTGTGTGTGTGTGTGTGTGTGTGTGTGTGTGTGTGTGTGTGTGTGTGTGTGTGTGTGACCCCTTTTAGCATCCACTTTCACTGCCGGGTCAGATTGACCCGAATACCATCTCTGTGATATAGACATGTAGGGGGAGGTTCCAAATGCATGACATGAACCATTTTCATTTTACTTGTTTATTACACTAATTAAGGTAAGTAGAAGAAGTTTCATACAAAAAAATACTTGAAAGTATTTTTCGTAGATTTTCAAACGGGTCAATTTGACCCTGAATGTAACAGGAGGGTTTTAATAGACTTCTTCTGGCATAAAGAAGTGTACGTGAAGTCTATATGTGTATGGACACGTTTTTGAATTAATTATCATCTTTACATTTTCTAATGTCCAAATATAATATAAATGTTTTTATGATTTTCAACAGGAAGTGTCAACAAAACTGGGCAAACATTTGGGCAGAACAAAATTGACTACATGCATTTAAATGTGGCAGGTATATATACAAAGTTTTGTTTTTTTGTTTTTGTGGTAGGTTCTGTAATAAAAAATGTCCCTTTTACTGTAATCATATTTCAACAGAACAATGTAAAATATGAGCATTCATGATTGATGCCAATGATCATCCTGTAGATGGCAGCAGCATCCAAATTTGGACTGAAGCCTGAATACAAGACAAGGCTGTACAGTACAGGCAGTAGAAGTATTTAGATATAGCTCTAGATGTGTTCTTGTAGAAGTAATGATACCTCAATTTAAAAATAATCAATTTTGAGTAAAAGTCTAAAAAAAAAAATTATTAAAAGTGAATGTAATTTTCATTTTGCCATTTGTTTGAGGTTGATTATTATATCATATTAATTACTTTTTTTTTAGAAAGACTGGAAAAGTCATTTTGTGCCTCTTGAAATAGGTAATTATTAGAAATAAATTGATCATACAAGTAAGCAACTCTATATGGGGTTTAAAGCTAGGGAGGAAGGATAGCGTCAATAGTTATTTTTTCTTTAGGACTCTTTCTTATAAAGTAGCATTTGCATGACAGAGACTGAATGACATTGCAATGCAATTCATTATTATTATTCATATAACCCTGGCTAGCATTAATTCAGAGTTCAAACATTTAAGTTTTATAAAAAGTTAAAAGTGTGTAAAAATGGTTAATGATGATCAAAGATTAGCTAATTGTATATAGCTTCATAGGATTGGTGCCATGTACATGATACACATTTGGCTAATATGTCAAATGTGCTCAGAAAACGCAGTCCGCTCTTCTGCTTGACAAAGTGGTGGCCAATGATGTGCCGTAGAGAGATCTGTGTGAACAGATTCTCATTCTGGCCCACTACTCCAGCAGCTGATTTTCTGACAGGTGCAACATCAACCAGAGAGGATGAAATAATCTCACAGTCACACACCACTGGGTCACACAAACAGGGCTTATGATCAGAGACCGCTGTTCCACCGACCAGCTGGTGGAAGGTGGGAGGACACCGGGCCAAAGTGGCTCTCTCATCTCTGAAATGCAGCTGCTCAGGTGTTCTCAGGCAAGGTATGAAAATTGCTTCAGCGCTCAGAGGCCATCAGCTACACTGTAACTGAACCATGAAACCTACTTCCTGCAGCTGTGATAGTGCAGATCAGAAAATGTTTCCTAAAGGTTAATTAAGTAAGAAACATGACCAGAGTAGAAGTCACACTGAAATGCAAAGTGAAGATTTCAATGATGGCTGTGACTGTTTGGCAGCTTGTCTTGCATATGTAATGTTGAGAAAATGTGGCACACTTTCCAGACTGGCTGCTGTGACAAATGAAAACTATTTGCTGCCAACTTTCAAGACCCCTATACAAACCGTTCTAAAATTGACTACTTCTCCTTCTCCTCCAAAATGATGAACCCTTGCAAAAATGGAGGTCACTCAGCCAGAGAGATAGGGCTGATGAAGTGACTTCTTATCTGTTCTGTCAAAATGCTTGAGTGATTTTTGATCATGTTGATGTGCTGTACCCTGCATGATAACAAGGAAAATGTTTTACCTGCTGTCTATCAATTTGTCGGGATGTAGACAGTTATTACATGACAGGTCACACACTTCTTATCAGTCACCCCTTCACATATCACTTGTAAATACTTTGGATCATGAACATTTACCCTGACATTCTAAGTCCCAAGAGGATGAACCCTATGTCTTTAATGATCCCTTGACTTTCCTGTTGTACCACTGGCAGGGTTGGCGTGGTTTTCTCATTGCCTTTTGAAATTAGTACAAACATCTAGAGCCATCATAAAGTCAAGAAATGTAACTGGTCCATAACTTTGGTTTATAACAAAATACCTGCTAAATGTGTATTCCTATTCCAATGTTAGCATGCTTACAGTACACGCAAACAAATATATGGTGAACCTACTGTACCATTACAGAACGTATTCATATAAGCATGCTAACACGCTCAACAGATGGTACACACTGTAGCATTACAGTATATAGCTATATATTATCATATAAGCATTTTTATTTTGAGCATCTTTCATTAGCATTTCGCTCGAAAGACTGTTAGAAATGCTGTGGACTCTTAGTCTTGTTATTTTATTTTTTACTGGAAGTCAATATACAGCTTTTATTTACTTATTTATTGAATGCCTTTAGTGTGTTTTCCAAACAATAGATAGTAAGCCGAGTGGTTACAGCTCATACCCTATGACTGTGATTTCTCAAGTTCAATATGGCCTTGGGTTCTGTGTTGCATGTCACGCCTCTCTCTCACCCATTTTTTACACTGTCTTCTGTCAAATAAA